AGGAACTCCGTAGCCGATTCGTAAGACGATAGATTGTTCTTTCTTCAAGAATGGAAGATGTACGAGAGAGTCTTCGTGCAAGTACTGCCTTCAAGTGCGCGCTACAGAGGAAGAGTTGCCTGTGTCTTTGTCCCTGTTACAGCCGTGTTGCGAGACGCAGCAGTTTTAAGGAGGGGGCAGTGTAGCAGAAATTCCCATCGACATCGAAGCGCCATGAAACATTAGTCATCGGCAATTACGAAGATAGGCGGATGTGATGTAATCTTTCCTAGAAGTACGACGTGTTTATTCGAGAACATTCTAGAAAGGCTCGGAAGTGTCCGGAAGCGTTCGACAACTATCGAGAAAGAGGGGGTTTATCATCATATCGGCAAATCGAAGTATGATTCAGTTCAGTTCCAACTTCAATGCGCTTGAGTTATGATCTAAATTGTATGTGATAAATAATACTTTTATTTTTCATTTGCCTATTATATGTCAATTATATCTGTTATATGTGATACATGAAGCAGTCTATTACGCCCAAGGGCATAATGAGAGGGCATAATGGATTGTCATCTCATTATGCCCTCAAACGGCCTGTCAAATTGATTCACGGGGTTATATTATGTAATAAAAAAGATGCAACTTGATTCGTATGAAGCACTTTAATGTTGGGCAAACAATACTCATGATATTTGTATATATTGGAAATGCATTCTTTGGAACGATGAAAAACAAAATGTTGTATGCACCTCGGGCATTACTCAATATTTAACCCTCGGGCGACCTAGCCCTCGGGCTCCGTCGCCCTCGGCATAAATATCGCCTTAATGCCCTTGATGCATAAATAACTATTATTTTTCATTTGCCTATTATATGTCAATTATATCTGTCATATGTGACCTATAAAGCTGTCTATTACGTCCAAGGGCATAATGAGAGGGCATAATAGATCGTCATCTCATTATGCCCTCAAACGGCCTGTCAAATTGATTGATGGAGTTATATTATGTAATAAAAAAGATGCAGCTTGATTCCGAGCTTGATTCGTATGAAGCACTTGAATGTTGGGCAAACAATAATCATGACATTTGTATATTGGAAATGCATTCTTTGGAACGATGAAAAATAAAATGTTGTATGCACCTCAGGCATTACTCAATATTTAACCCTCGGGCGACTTATAATCCTTCAGGCCGGAGGCCACCGAACTCTGTCGCCCTAGGCATATAAATATCGCCTTAATGCCCTTGATGCATAAATAACTACAAAGGCACAAAAACTACACCACTTACAGACTTGGCATTGGGGTCATTCGATTTTTTAAAAATAAGTGAGATCTTGCAAAAATGGATTGCGCTATTTTTAGCGTATTTTTCTCCAAGTGAAAAATCACTATTGGCGGCACTTTGTCGTCCGTCCGTCAGTCACACGTACTTTTTCTACACGACTGAACCGATTTGGGCGATATGGAGCTCATTTTAAAGGGCTTGGTTCAAGGATTCCGATACCGAAATTTTTTGGTTTTGCGCATGCGCAATGCCAACTTCCTTATTTACGGAAGCATTTAAATGAAATTTAATACTTAAGCAGCTGGAACAAAAGCAAATCTAACATAAATTTCACAATTTGTTTATATTTGTATACGTTTTCAATAACTGTAGCTATCGACTTCGACGAAAGGCGGCTCATTTGAAAGAGAATGGGGTAAGGATCTCGTGTCTACCGGTATTTTCTCCCGGTCCTAGCATTAATATTATTTAGAGGAAAATCTCGTCATTTATGTTTACATAATGACTTTTTAACTTGTTTTTTTACTGAGCGACTGCCACAAATTAAGTTAAATCAAAACCGAGGCCAAAACGATGTCCAAAGTTATCTTGTCCCATGGGTCCCCATGGATTTACACACTAAATAGATGTCTGGTGCGAGGGGGTAATTACTGTGTGCAATAGGTCGGCGGATAGTATTGCAATGTATGTGCAACGTGTGCAATATTTGTGCAATAATGGCCGAGGGTGTGTGCAATATAAGTACCTTAGTAAGTTCATACGTGTACTCAATAACGCTTAAAATTTGGTATGGACTTTTTACTGCATTAGGTAACACGTGAAACACTAGGTTTATTTAATGCCAGTAGTCATACGGCCTTTGGGAAATCCCGTTTTTTCCCGTACCCCGTTCCTGTGTTCGCCGTTCTTGTGGAGTATACCTTCACGGCTCGCTTCACGGCTTCGAAGAAACGTACCTTCTAAATGTCAAGTCTCTTTCCTACTGTAAAACATAAAATCTTGTTTTTTTCTGTTCCCGTTTGCGTGGGAATTTAGGCTAGTGTTTTACTCTCGGTTTCACTGAAACATTTCTGCGAGCATACGTCCAACTATTCCCCAAAGTTTCACCGTAATCGGATGAACGGTTCAGACCCGACGAACGCCTATCCCGGAGAACCTCGTGTATACCTATTGACAATTGCCTAACATTTCCATATAATGACATTGCAGTGTGCACATTTTAAATCCTTCGAGATTTTTTGAGTTAAGAAATGCCGTTTCGGGACATGGTGATGATGTGTTGCAAAATCACACTATGCACATTTTAAATATTCGAAAGTATTATGAGTTAAGTTAAGTACCTACTTCATTTTGCTTTGTACTGGTACCAACACATAAGAAGACTACAGCGGACTATGCGCAGATGACGCCTTCTTACGTGCCGGGTACAGTAGTCTTGTGGTATAATGACAATGTGTACATTTTAAATCCTTTGAAAACTTGTGTACCTATTAAGAAATATTGTTTCAGAACATATGTTGAAAATTTGTTGCAAAATAACCTCTATCTACCTATCACTTTTTAATTTGATAGTTTTTAATTTGTTTAATTAGTTTATTTAGGTAAGCTACCTGCTGTTCGCATATTCTCTACAACTGAGTCACTTCCAATCGGTTCAGCCGGCAATGGGAGTACAGTCAGAGAAACCTGTCGAGAGACCTACAGATAATTTCTGTGAAAAAAGCGATTTTTTACCCCATTGCAGTATCTCCCTTACTGGCTGGCGGTAAAAAAAAGGTACTGAACTTTTACTTGTCAACTTGTCAAGAGTCAACAATTATTTTGGTAAAATTAAAGCAACCATGGATTGATAGTAGAATACGTTTTCTGACGGTTTTCCAAAGTATTGTGTTTGCTAAAACGCCAAAACGTGGAAAAATTACTTAAAAATACTATAAAACCATAAAACGCTGTAGACTGCAGGCTCGGTGTTATTATATATCCGTCATTATATACCGTGTGAAAACTTGCCACACGTTTTTTTTGATAATAAAAATTGGAGCACTATTTTTTGGCTCTTATTTTCAAATTTCTTGCCTTTTTGTGTAACCTGTGCGATATGGAAAAACAAATGTGCAATATCAGTGAAAGAACGGTGCAATGTGCGCAATAGTAGTGCAATTTGTGTAATAGCTGTGCAATGTGCACAATATTGTGCAATATCGAGTGCCATATTAGGACAATTTCTGCAATATCATTGCAGTGTGTGCAATATTGCACATACCCCATGTGCCTCTGATATTGAAGTGATTACCCGCGTGATTATCCCCTCGGTTGGGTGTACAAAACTTATTTGTGGTTTCCCGCTAGATTTTTTTTAATTTTCTCAACACGAAGAACTTTGACACGCACTGTATAGCAAAAAAAACGTTTATGTTGTGAAAATGTCTCGGAAGGGGTAAATCTAGAGGTACCACATAAGTTTTCAATAAGTCTATTAGTTTTCGACAGAATGATTGGTCCAAAATGTGAATGACGCAAACCCATTGCCTAAATGAAAAAGAAGTAAATATAAGATCACCTGTAAAACAATACGCAAGCATAATCGCTTGATGGTAAGTAAATTTGTACGAATAACGTCAGAAATGTAATGGGGATGCGGAATTCTTATCGAAATGTGGAAATTTTATAAAAATATCGGAGAAATGGTAGAAATGACAATTTGGTAGTGGTTTTTTTTTCAATTGCACCACACATGCAAATATGTCTCTATTTCAGGAGGCGGTTTGCAGTACATTTGAAAGTTTTAAATACTACTAGCACAAAAATACGAAAAATTAAAATTAATTTTGCTTTTGCGAGAGAAGGAGGAGGGAGGGCTAGCGTGATTGGAACTACATTGAAAAACTATGGAAAGCAGATGATAAGTACCTAAAGGTCGGTCTAGGTCCGTAAGTATATTTGGCCCTCTATTTCTCCAAAATTACCAATTGCGGATATATTCCGTACCCGCCCACCCCATTCTTGAACAATTTTCCCCGTATAAGCCTAGCTTCCCTTCTCTTTCGCGACAATTTGTGGGAGAATCTTTAATAAACAACTCTCAGATGTAATTAAATTATAAATAAAACCGTAAATAAAACAAACAAAATCTCGTCTACCACTTAACGCCGCTTACCCTCACAATATCGAAAATCTACCCTACTTTTCGATAGATACGTTCCACGCTTTAAAATTTCAGGTGGCGATTTAGAAAACTTAAAACAAACACAGATGTTTCCGACTCTAAATTGCGTGAATTGAAAAATTGCTCGGAACAAATTTTTATTAAGTAGTTTTATAACAGTATATAATTGAGCATTGTCGTAATAGTTCGAAATAAGTGTGGGAGGTACTCCGTGCATTAGATAATTCACATTTTAAGTAGAGTTTTAAGTAAACGGCGATTCGGGTGTAAATATTTACGACTCAAACGTATCGCTTCATCATAAATTGCTTCGCGGTTGCCAAAAACTAAAAAAGCCATTACAAGGACTTGGACGGGACGATTTCAATGTTTCCCACAATTAGCATTTGGAAAAAAACCTGTTCCAGTTTTCGTTCAATTCCAACCTGTTACACTTCCGTGTACGCATGCGTATATTCAGTGATTTTACTATGCATGTTTTATCTGGCAATCTTTTCATAATGCCTATTCACGACACGTGATATCTTGGTTTATCTCGAAATGAAATTGTAAAAGCTTACCGAACGTTTGCCAGTGTGTGCCTCCGATTCTTGAGATATCGGTTGTGATATCTTTGCAGATCTCCAATGGAGCCTTGTTCGGCTTGCATTTTTCCTCCGGCTGGGGAAACCCCCGACGACGCCTCGCTAGAAGTGGTGCTAGTAACGGAACGATTTCGTTGGGACTTTCTAGCCGCTTTCACGGATAACGTCGGCGACGGGGATTGTACATTGCGTCTCTTTTTATAGCTAACACGTGCTCCAAGTGGTTGTAGTGTGGTAGGTTCGTCTTCGAGAACGCCGTCTTCCTGTTGCAATTCAATCGAGTCCTCCTCGGCGATATCCTGAAGGTGGGGGGAGGGATGTCGAGCACGAGGTGGACTATCGCAATAAGGAACTGGCGGGGATGACGGTGGAGTCGCCTTGCCTTCGGCTGGGCCGCACCAAGGCAAACAGCACTTCCAAACCCCCACCAGTGTGACGTATTACTAACCCCCTTATAAAAATAACATCACTTGTTGCCACTTCCTTTTAAACGAAATACTACACGAGTTTAGATAGCATCTTAATAGTTATTTTGTTAACGCGTTTTAAACTGTTCCCCGGTTTCTACCGCTTGACATTAATGCAAACACTAAATTCTGATTATCGTTTATTGATTGTCCTCTTTGTATTATCACTAAAGCGACCGGCACTTTTAAAACTCTTCGAGTGTTAAAATCGCACGAAAAGATCTAAGGATGTGGGGGCAGGGACTGGGGTTTAGGGATGGAGTCGCCGAGATTATGACGAGATCACAGCATATTGGTGGATCGCGTTATTTCGGAAAGGCTATTTCTATCATGTTGTAGGAGTCGTTATAATGCGAGATGGGAAAGATAGATACATCGATTTGATTGATACAACGCTTTACGTGTTCACAATATACAAGGTCGTATAATAGAACTCAATCAACGTTATTTATTTATATTGCACGCCGTATTTCCGTCGTGTTTTATTTTTGCTTGTCACTCTCTGTACCACGCTGCAGAGTATTCCCCAAATTTATTGATATGAAGGTTTTTTATTATTAATCTAAGGTATCCCTTACGTAAAAACACACGAGTAATACTGATATGCACGTACAGATTAAGCACAAAGTAATGAACGGAAATTAAAATTTTCTATCGAATTCTACTATTAAATTCCAGTATTCATTCCTAGTATCCTTGGTAAGTTTAGAGGTTACGAAGCACAGGAACTAAAATAAAACATAAAACACAAATTTAACGGCAAATATACGCGAGGACGCGATTCACATAATTATAAATTTAAAATTGTACACGTTTTTGAATCAAAAACATTCTAAATATAAACGATATAAGAGTAGGTAGCAGGAGCAGCGCACGCTATCCTGCAGAGCTGATTTGGTACTGAGCGCCGCCGTCGAGGAAGCGATGGCGCTGCGCCCCCGCCACTAAAAAGGACGAAGGAAGTTTGGAATGTTTATCATTCAACTACCCTTAATCAAACTTAAAGTTATAGAACGAACTAACACAAACGCCTCTTTACTTGCAGCCAGACTAAACGAATTTAACTCAGAAGTTTTAAGGAGTTATGTCTTTTGTCGATATTAAACCGCCGTTGTAAAGCTTCAAATTCATTACGTGTATAACAATGTTCAAATTGTGTTGCGTTTTAATGAGGCCGTGAAAATAAAACCTTCTTTATTTTTGTGTAATTGCCATTAATCTCAAACAATACCATCGTTTACAATGCTTAAAATTTAGGTTTGATAATTTTGACGTGCCCAGTTTTCGAATTCCCTACAGTCACAATAAACTTTTATAAAATAGACAATAAGAGAAACACCTCTTTTGGAAAATTAAGGGATTAACTTCGAATCCAAGGAAACAGCTCATCTCCATATTCGTTACATGGCTTTAGCCAAATCAAAATATTGCGCTCGTTTTCTTCGCCCACTTTAGTGCCTTTCGTTTTGGAGAAAATATGAACACTTTTCTTTGAAGCCGATCGCAACCATATAACTCCTTCTCGGCATATCCAAAATCATTTCTTTTTCATTTGAATAAGTTTATTGACATTTTTCTAAATTTATATGTTTATGCAATTAAATATTATACTGCATCTGTTAATTGAGGTGTAGAATGTGAATGACTGCTGCAAAAAGCGAAAAAAACAAGATTGCGGCTCCTAACCGACTGTACATGAAGGTTAGACTTTTGTTAAGAGCATTGGACAGTCCAACAACACGTTGAACACAAAGCATCATCTAATGTCTCTCGGTTAATTTTGTTAATAAGAAGGATTTAAACTAAAGAGTCACGTGGGTACGGTGCTCTAGAAGATTTCCAGTACAATCACCTGAGAACAGGACCGTAGCCAGAGGGGGGCAAGAGCGGTAGACCCACTTGGCCGTTCTTAAAATTTGCTTAAAATAACACAATGTAACATGCTCATAAATAATCAAAATTTCTTTCAACCATTTTAAGTGGCGATCAGGGTGGCGATATTAATTAAGATGTTTTAGGTTGAAAGATGGATTTAATAGTTCTGTGTTATTAAATAACGTCAGCGCTTCTTCGAAAACGACATTTTTCCGTTTTTTAGCCAGAATTTCGCTATTTTAGAGCTACAAGAAACTTTTTAAAGGGAAAATTAATCAGCATGAAAGTATGCGTAAGTTTGCCCATTCGAGCGACTTTGCATCTTGTACGGTTTACGAGATCCCCATGGTGACAATGAAAAAAAAACTGTATTATTATCATTCTTTTTTACCACCTGCAATACGTACTACAGGCATAAGAGAGATCCGAGGAAAGATTTACAAATGACTTTCTAAATCGATACAATACACACATTTCTTGGGTATCGAGCAATCGAGTTTGATCTTTTTTCCAACAAAATTGGTGCATAAATAATAATTTTGACCAATTTAGAGCTATAACACGTGATGAATGCCAAAGTGAAACCATAGTCAAAACGAGGTCTAGGGACTATGCTTTAGTACAGAACGACCCGCAGACGGACGGAAATGTGAAGTCATAAGCGCCCCACTTTCGTGGATTGCGCTAAACTTCAGCAGAACCAAGAGTATGTAACATACTCTTTGGCAGAACACAGCAAATTATTAATATTTCGCCTGCCCGCTCTGTTTATTTATTTAGCCGCTCATAGTAACTAATCTGGCTACGGCCCCGCCCGAGAAATTTGTGTTGCACATTTCTAAGAGCTTCAGCTTTAGAGAGAGCAGACGATATCGGCATATTCCAGCTTTGAACGCGCATGTGCATTATATGGAATTTTAAGACCTTGTAGAAACTGTGCTAATCGCTGTAAAGCAGTGGTTCCCAAACTTATTTCCATGGCGCTCCCTTTTATAAAACTAAAATTGCTCACGCCCCCATATCCCGATTAAAAATAAAAACTGCTGTTGCTACAAACATATTTATTAAAAAAATTACAGGGTGTTTTTTTCATTTTCACTATGAAACCATGAGAAATATAAAGCCGTTTAAATGGGAAAAGTTATGCAGAATTTTATGGTGATTAATTTTCTCTTTTAAAGTCAACTAGCGAAGTTATGGCAAAAAAAACGAAAAAAGTCATTTTCGAGAATGCGTTGGCGGATATTTATTTTCAAAGATATCAAAAAATAATTTTAACAAAACCGTGGTGAATTTTTTTCAAAGTTCTGACGGTGCTAAAAAAAATTTATGACCACTGCTCTAAAGCCTTGATGAATTGTGATTGTTCCGATATAAAATGTTAAAATACCATCAAGTGTATAGACCATTTAAGCAACTTTTAAGGAAAACATTTTTTCTGTCTGTAGTATGTACAGTACGTTAGTAATTTTCCAAAGTAACGTGATTTTGTTCAAATTTTGGGTGTGTATATGACGAGGTATATGAGGTATACCGAAACGAAAAATAACGGGCCGGATTTTTGAAAAAATTTAGCGCCGCAACGGCATCGAACTTTTTTTTTCAAATAGCAACACAAAATTTTTATTAAATTATACGAAAGACTTTCTTTTTCTGTGTACAACCATTGTTTAAATGCTTTATACAACCTACAAAAATTGTGCTAGGGCTTTATTACAAAAAAATAGAAAAAAACATATCAAAGTTAAAGAACTAAAATATTTTTTGTCGGCAAAAAGGTTGCTTTGATTTCGTTAAAATTTTGCGACTGCCAAAAACGTTTTAACGTTGGAAATGTTTATGTTTTCGTATATGGGTACAATGTTACAGTTTTCGTTCAAGACTAAAAGACAACGGTGTAGTGATCAAGTGACGATTTAACCGTACTCGGCTATGATCTGTAGGTTAATGAAAAGTCGTGGATACTGTCGGTACGGTATTTACTTAATAGTGCTCAATTGTGTTGTTAATTCCAATCTAAAATTCTCGCACATACGAGTTATTCAGGGTGCCTGTGAGAGAGCGGAACAAATGATCCCAATGAATAGGTAAAAGTTATTGGTGTTTTCCATATGGCGTTATACGGTTATCATTTCCAGTGTCTCTCATGATGCGAAATCTGTAAATTTTTATCTAATTTTTTAGCGCTGCGATGTTATACTTTTTTCTGAACAGCAACATTGAATCTTTATTAAACAAACAAAGACTTTCTTTTGCTGTGTACCATCTACAAAATTATGTTAGTTTTTATTACAAAAAAAGAGAAGAAAAGTGAAAATACAAAAATATTTTTTCGGCAAAACGGTTATTTTGATTTCGTTATTATTTTGGCAGTGTACATAGTTTTAAATTTATTATACTTAAATTAGTACATTCAAAATCATTTAAGTATCGTAAAATAATGCCCTATCAATCAGAAATTTTTTCAATCTCGATTTTAACTTAAACAAAAGTGTTACGCACAGTAAAAATAACCCACACAATAAATTAATTCAAATTCAAATTACCTACTTTATTCGTCTAGTCGATTACAATTGTGTAATATAAGGCATGTCAACCAATTAAACCTTAACTATACAGGGTGATTCCTATAGTACCTGCCACCGTTTGGGAGCGTGTAGGTGGTGCGTAGGGGAGTATTTTGATATAGGACACTTGGGGTCGGAAATCTAAAATAAGGGTGCCAGAGCCAAATTTACCTTCTGGAATTTCGCGCCTGTAGGTAGGCAACCCAACCGGCCGGCGGTGCACACGGAGCGATCTCAGGCGGCGATGTGTGGCTGACACTTGATCAGAATTTTGTTTAAACCCACGAAATCCCGTCTGCAACGACGCGTATCAAGTGAATAAACACTATGGCAATAGTATAATAATAGTTGGCTAGATGTAGGAAGTGCATTGAGAACAACGGTGGCCACGTTGAACACTTGTAAACGTTATTGCTTTTGACTGTCGTTTTCCCTCCTTCCCTCCCATGTCGCTTCCTCGCGCTAACTCGCTCTGCATCGCTCCGCGCGAAACGTCGGTCGGTTGGGTTGCCTACATACAGGCGTGAAATTCCAGAAGATAAATTTGGTTCTGGCGCCCTTATTTTAGATTTCCGACCCCAAGTGTCCTATATCAAAATACTCCCCTAGGCACCCCCTATACGCTCCCAAACGGTGGCAGGTACTATAGGAATCACCCTGTATAATAAATTTAAAAAACTCCCTAGCCGCAGGGCTCGGTATATAATTAGTTGATTAATTTATTTATGATTTTTATTTATTTATTCATTTTTTATATTTATTTATTTTATTTATTATTCTTCTGTTGTTCTGACCCATCAACAGGCTTGCGCCCAATGACCCGCATAATGCTTTTTTATAGGTCAATAGGTGCTCCTGAAGAAGGTCTTAAGTTGTGCTATACTACTCCGGTATTATCCTTACGAATTAGGAAAACGGCAGGAAAGCCTAATTCGGAGTAGCAGGCAGAATGTTTGAAACTGATCTAAGAAAATTCTCATCTCCGCCACAAATGAAAAGTGCTTACATCAGCCCAGGTTGAACACCCAACCTCCGGCTATGTGGCCCAACGCTCTACCACTGAGCTATAGACGGTACTGTACATTAATGCCTGAAGGTCCTCGCTCTTCTCGTACCTACTCTGTTTCTACGCCAGGTACTTACAGCACTTAATTGGCCAATCAGAAAGAAGGGGTGGTCTCTAACAACATTCGCGTTTCAAACTCGATCATAACTTACCCGGCAAGGCAAGATACTGAATAGGTGCTGATGCTAATAAAATTACTTGAATGTAATCGCATGTATACCTGAAGAAGCAACATATAACTATTAAGGAATATCGATCATCGATATTAAATCTCCTTCATGTCCTGGTGATCCATTTCACAACAAAATGGCCGCTTGTTATCAACAGCTGG